AGTGCAGCTGCCCCTGCCGCCCCTGCCGGTGCCCAGAGCAGTGGACCGGGCACGTACCAGGTGGAGGTGGCATCCTGGGTGGGCAGGAGCCGCTGAGTGCCGGGAAGTCTTCCTGGGGTGGCGGGCAGGGGAGGGGCCCGGGGGGCCGTGGGAGCCCGGGGGGTTCCTTGGGGGTGCTCCGAGCAGGGGCCGGCCCCTCCGTGTGTCCATTGACGATGGCAGCCACAGGCCCCTCTGGCCTGCCGGCGGGGGCTGCAGGGGTGCGCGGGGGGCCGTCTCTGTCAGGGGGCGGCGGGGGTGAGGCGGCACTGGGCTTCTCGGAGCCCACCTTCTTTTTCTTGCCCACCTTGGTGAAAGGCTGCGTGGCAGCGGTGCCCGCCGCAAGCCCACCCCGCGGCTCCTCGTCCTCCGCGGGGGGGGGCCCGGCCTTCCTTCCGCCTCTACCCGCCTTGCCGGGCTTCCTGGCGGCCTGGGCCCCCACGCCGGGCGGAGCCGCCTTCTTGCTGCCGCTGCTGTTCCAGGGGGAGATGAGGCTGGGGGGCGCGGGACCGGGCGCGGGAGCCGAGGACACCAGGGCGGGGAAGTCCTCCTCCTGGAAGGCGCTCCTGCCCCTGGCGGGCCCGGGGTAGGCCAGCGCCAGCCCCATGGGCCCCGGGGCCACCACGGAGCCGCTGGCAGAGGCGGCGCACAAGCTGGGGAAGTCTTCGTCCTTGAGCTTGGCGGCGGGCGGCGGGGGGGCGCTGGGCAGGACAGGAATGCCGGTCAGCGGGCGGTGGGGCCCCACCCCCTCGCCAGGGCCTGCAGACACGCACCTTGGCAGCGGGGGTCCGGCGGGAGAGCCGCCGGCTGGGAAGGCCTCCTGGCTCGCGGGGCCGTTGGCTGAGGCCTCCTGGGGACCTACGAGACAGAGCGCTGGTGCCGGTCCGTCATGGGCCGGGCGGCGCTGGGGGGGCACGGGGGAGGGCACCTGCCCGCCGCGGCCCACCTGAGCCCTCGGCCTGAGTCCGGGGTGTGCGCCGAGGGCCCCGAGACTCCTCAGGCCCACGCCCCGCTGCGTCCACCTTCTTGGGCCTGCCGCCCTCCTCCCGGTCCTCACTCCGGCGTGGCTCTGGCTGCTGCTGCGCTGCCACCGAGGCCCGGATGGCAGCCGCCACCTCCCGGTCTTCTTCTTCCCTAGGAGGCGTCGCCTGTCAGCCCGGCAGGCCCAGGCCGCAGGGAGTGGGGCGGGCGGCCCCTGTCCCAGGAAGTCCTGGTGCAGGGGGCGCTGGGAGACGGGCAGGGACGAGCAGAGGCCAAGCGCCCCAGCTGGCCCCAGGGGGCTCCCGCACATGACCCAGGATGGGCTCTGTGGGCGCTGCCGGGTCCCGCCAGGCGTCGGGGCGAGGCCTGGCCCGAGCCCACTGTGTCCGTCCCCAGGTGCCAGCCCCAACCCGCAGGGGCCAGAGTTGCTGCCGGAACCCAAGGCCAGAGGACGGAGCTCG